CCGTTGCTCTCTACGGCCCATTTGGCCAATCGTCCCGAGAGCTCGGGTTTATGCATTACATTCCTCAATGGGTAAATTGTTACAACACATATGGGGTGATATTGAAAGTACAATTTTAGCTTCTTAGAGGCGCTTAACAAAGCGAGCGCCAATATTTTCTAGGTGAGGGTATCTAGTTTCGGCCTCGCCTAGAGTCCTGCTAACATAGTAAATTGGAAATTGTGTACCTTCCTCTTCCCGGACAAGGACTCCACTTATCGCTATCTCTAATACTGCCAAGTACATGTATAGATGTTCGTCTATCTTCGGAGTGTGAAGCAACGGTGGGCTCGAGAGATACCGCTTGAGTTCCTCCAAGGCTCGTTGGCAATCCAGGGTCCACGAGAAGTTATTCGCTTTCTTCAACAGTGAAAAGAACAGGTGGCCCTTATCGGAGGACCTCGAGATGAATCGCCCCAAGGCGGCTATGCGTCCGGTTAACCTTTGTACGGCCTTGACGTTGTCCACAACAACGATATCTTCGATGGCCTTAATCTTATCGGGATTAATCTCGATTCCCCGATTAGACACCATAAATCCGAGGAACTTACCGGACCCGACTCCGAATGCATATTTCTTCGGGTTTAGCGTCATATTGTACTTCTTCAATATGCTGAAGGTTTCCTGCAAATGTTTCAATGGTCCTCTGCTCGCAGGGACTTAACTAACATAACGTCAATGTAAACCTCCATTGATTTTCCTATTTGTTCTTCGAACATCCAATTTACTAGGCGTTAGTAAGTGGCACCGGCGTTTTTTTAACCCGAACGGCATCACGTTATAGCAGTAAGTGTCGTATTTGGTGATGAAGGAAGTTTTTTCCTAATCACCTGGGTCCATCCGTATTTGGTTGTACCCGGAATAAGCGTCGAGAAAACTGAGAATCTCGTGGTCGGTCGTTGCATCGATCATGCGATGATATTAGGCAAAGGGAAAGAGTCCTTGGGACACGATTTATTCAAGTCTTTATAGTCTACACACATTCTTAATTTGTTTCCCTTTTTAGGGACTACTACTACATTTGCTAACCAGTCCAAGTATTTAACCTCCCTGATGGACCCTATTTTAAGGAGTTTAGATACCTCGTCCTTGATGAACGCATGCTTGACCTCGGATTGGGGTCTCCTCTTCTGCTTGACCGGATGTAACTTCGGGTCTAGGCATAGCTTGTGAGTGATTATTTCCGACGGGATCCCTGTCATATCAAAGTGGGACCAAGCGAAACAATCTACGTTAACTATAAGGAATTAAATGAGTTTTTTCCTGAGCTCGGAACTCAACCCCGTGCTCAAGTATACCTTTCGATCGGGAAGTGCTTGATCAATACGACTTGCTCCAGTTCCTCGATCGTAGATTTGGTAGCGTCGAAATCGTAGGGGACTATGAAAGACCTGGGAACCTCATAGTCGCCATCCTCACCCGCCTCCTGTTTCTCTGGTCGGGACGAGGTCGGTGTCAGTAGTTGCTATTTGGTTTCTCCCTTGGTGACCGGACCCAGATCCTTTGGTGTAGAAAGTGCGGATATTGGGACCACCTCGTCGACCGCGAATATCTCAATTGCGGCCAGTTGTTCTCCGTAAATGTTTTTATTCCTCCCGGCGTCGAAAACTTCAACACCTGGTGTAGAGACGAGGCTACTGCCCTCATGTTGTGAATCCATGGTCTTCTGAACAAAACATTGTATCTCATGTCCCCTTCGATCACGTAGAACTTTGTTTCCTGGATGGTCCCGGCGGTGTTCACCGGTAATGTTATCTCCTCTCCTTTAGTGGTCTCACATGCCATGTTGAATCCATTTAGAACTCGGACTGCAAGCACGATTTGATCTTGTAGACCGAGTTGTTCCACGACCCTTGATTTGATGATGTTGGCCGAGCTACCTGGATCCATTAACACACAGTTAACTCAAGATTTATTTATGAGTACTGACATTACCAGTGCATCGTTGTGGGGCTACACGATCCCCTCAGCGTCCTCGTCGTTGAAAGACAAGGTTCCCTCTGGTACATAATCCCGAGTCCGTTTTTCCCTTGTGATGGATACTTTGGTGCACTTCAGCATCGACCCCTAGGGAACGTCGACCCCACCGATGATCATGTTAATGATGTGTTGGGGTTCCTCCTGCTCGATCTGTTTCTAAAATCTCTATTCCTGAAGTGGTTCTTGGCTCGACCGCTCAGGAACTCTCAGAGGTGTATGTTGTTGAATAGCCGAGCTATTTCCTGTCTTAATTGTCGGCAATCCTCTATTCTGTGGCCGTGAGTGCCATGATATTTGCACATTAGGTTCGGATCCCTTTGGGCTGGATCGGACTGTAGAGGACGAGGCTATTTGGTGTCTTTGATACGTCCGATGGCGGATACGATGGCGACAACGGCGATGTTAAAGTTGTACTCTAATAATCTTGGCGCTTCCTTAGGCCCGATGGGCCTGTCGAAATTGTTTTTACTCATGAGTCCCCGGTTGCTTTGACCTCGATCACTCCTTTTTTCCCTTCTCACCGTGTATTGCCCAGACCCGCTACTTCTCTGGTCTCCATTGTATGACGGATATTGATCCCTGCTTGGTTCACGATCAACGTCTCTCTTGACTCTGTCTACGGCTCTGACGGGATAAACAGGCCCGGAATGGGGCCCAAGCTGATCATCTTCGACCTTGATTTTTTATTGATACCGATTATGCATGTCGGCTCAAGTAATAGCCGGACATTCCACCATATATTGTTTTAACTGTAGTGAAGCCAGCGAGCTTGGGACATTGAGTTCTTAGGTGAAGGCCTGAACGACCCAATCATCCGCGGCCGGAGGTAGGTCTATCCGTTCTATTTGAAACCGGGACACGAACTCTCTGAGAATCTCGTTATCCCTCTGTTTTACTTTGAAAAGGTTCGACTTCCTAGTCTCGATCTTGATATCCCCAGCGTGTGCTTTTACGAAGGAATATGCAAGCATAGCAAACGAGTCGATGGAATTGGGAGGTAGGTTGTGATACCATATCATAGCTCTCTTTGACAGGGTTTCCCCGAACTTTTTCAGCAGGACAGATTCGATCTCATCATCATCCAAGTCATTCCCTTTGATTGCGCACGTGTAGGAGGTCACATGCTCATTTGGGTCGGTTATTCCATTGTATTTAGGAATCTCGGGCATGCGAAACTTCTTAGGGAACGACTTCGGGGCCGCGCTTGGAGGAAAAGGTTTTTGAACAAATTTCTTGGAGTCCAGGCCCTTTAATATTAGTGGTGCCCCCGGGATTTGGTCGACCTTGGAATTATAGGTTTCCACCTTTTTGTCATTGGCTTCGATTTTCTTCTCTCCCGATTCTACTAGTATTGTCAACTCTTCGAGCATCTTTATGACCTCGGGGTTGACTCCCTATTCATTTCCATTCGGCCTCCCCGTGATCAGTTCATTTTTGCGGGTGACTTCCCTGGATGGCTCGAGCTCAACCCTGCTCGGCGCGCGGCTTTGGTTTTGCAACTGGGGTATCACTACCTGTTGATCCTGTAACATTTCGAAGATCACCCGCAAATTGATCCCATCCTCTTCACCGTTGTGCGTATTTTGAGAAATCGATCGGACTTCCCTGCGTACGTTGTTCTCAGGATCAGTAGGCAAATTTGTATTAATGGCCACATGCGAACTGGCATCGATTGGGTCCGCGGCCGAAACTCCGCCGAGATCGACGGGAGGCACCTCGTTACCGGGCGCTACATTATTGTTCTCGCCATGGTGGCCGGATTCAGCATCCACGTTAGAGGGGCTGGCTGGGAGTTTGGCATTTTGAACTTTGGCCTGAAATTAGAGACACTTCATAGAACAAGTGTAAAATAGGGTGTGTTATAGAAGTTTGTATCAAATAGCCACTATTATCCTTAGCTCCACGGTGGGCGCCAAACTGTTTACACTCAAAAGCGGATAACAATTGAATTTATAAGTGATTTTTGTGGATTAATTTGATACAGAGAAATAAATTAAGTAGAGTTGAACAAATAAAGATGAAATAGGTTTAAATCGCACAAGGAAGATAGTTCCAAACTGTTTGGAACTTTCACACTCGACCCGAACTCGTTATGGCCAGCACTGATGAACATTAGAAAAAGCTAATAACAAAGAAAATAATGATATATTGCTTTAGAGTGCGTGTTACCATGTTCCCAATGAATAAAAATCATCTCTTTTATATAACGGAAGAGTTTCATCCCTAGTACAATTCTAAAAAAGGTAAAAATCTTCTTTTTCGTCAATCATTGATCTGTTGTCGATATGGGCTGAGATCCGCGCCGTGATATCTGATCGGGCGCGGATATCACGGCCCTTCGTTAGTCATGTGAAACCGTTTAGTAATGCCTCTCGGAGGCTCGGAGCTCGAACTGAATCTGGGGGGCATTGTCTCGGCGGCTCCGGTGGCAAGTGCTCTGTTCGGGCTTTAACACGTGGGTTATACCTGGTCGGTCTAGGACATGACGACCCTCTGTTGGTCGTGTTAGATTGCTCGACAGTGTTCTTACAAGTCATTCAAGGCTAGGACCGATTCCGAACCATGACTCGATAAGACTCTTGCCCAAACTTCGGTCCTTCGTTATCATGTCCCGAGTTTGACTTATTTTGTCGGAGACCGGGGTGCACCATGAGCCCGATTTCACCCGTATACATTCTTACTTCGTGATTTTCAAAAAACGATGTAAATCTCTATCTTTCTTTCCTAAATGTATTTCTATATTATTCAGTAATATAGTACTACTAAGGTTCTTCCTAAGAAACAGAAACTGAATGCGAATGCAGAAAAGAAGATTCAAAGAGGGTGCTCCACCCCTTCCTTAAAGTTGAGATTGGCACTTGTCTTTGCTTTTCTTTCCTAAGAAAAAGTATAGCAAAGCGTTTCTATAAAAATTTTGTTTCTTTCAATTATTTTTTGAACAATTGAAATATATAACAGTTTTTTGAAAGTGTTATCCTTAACACATTAGACTACTAACTAAGATTTTCTCCTTCCAAGTACAATTATACTGCCTACAAAAGAAGACAGTACTTACAATCATCATCACTTATTTAAACTGAGCCCCTAAAGCCTACAAATGTAAACATTACAACCCATACAACAGACCGTGATACCAACTACTATACCTAATACATATTCAAGGCAAGTTGTGTATGGACTATTATGTCCATCCCACAAAACTTAAAACCCATTTTTGGGGACTAAATAAACTCTAGCCTTAACAACCGATCCATTTCCAAGCTTAAACCCGGGACTAACTGGAAATCCGACAACTAGACCCATACCCATTCTCCCTCCTATGCCCATGGAAATGGAATACTTCACCACACTTTCCATGTACTGCGGGTGAAACTCAGATCCTTTGCTCGCCTCGAAATGACTTGGCGGAGGATCCAAAGAAAAGGTTAGCAAATGCAGCAGCCAAACGGCCTTTGCTAGCCCAAGAAACTCCCCATAAAACTGACTCCTCGGATGGTTCCCAGCCAACACCTGTCGCCGCTGCTCCAAATCACCAAACAGAGACTCCTCCATTTTTGGGTGCACAATGGCCAAATACTTCTTGAAACAGAAGTTCCCGAAACTGCAAGTGGGGAGAATTCCCAGAAGTTCCATTGGGTCCATTGCTTTCATGTCCCTGTACTGTGTAAAACAATCGCGCCGGTGTTGATCTGGGTGGATTAGTGATGATAAGCTTCCATCCATGTAGAACGTCTCGTGATCGAATCCTTGGAACATTTTGCGGTTCACATAAGATTCCAGTGCGTATTTGGCATGGTTGGCTCCAACGATAGAATCTGCCGTGGGTGTGTTTGTGTTGGATGAAGCAGCTTCGATGGATCTCACCGCCGCTGCAATGTCCCAGTGAGCAGAGCGCATCAAAGAGAGGAGCAAACTCGTGAAGGATTTTGAAGCTTCTTTTACTAAGCTCACTGTAGTTTCGAATACGTCAGGTGCCGGCGACATTGTAACTGGAGCTTGACTGCTACCGCTAACTTTTCGTTTTGACTTGCTTTTCTTTCCACCACTGCTGCTAAGACTTGTTGCTGTTTTCAGCTTCTCCCTCAAATTATCAATCTCGATTTCTTTGGCCTTCACTTCTTGCCTCAGTTCCTCCACGGTGGCTTCATATGGTGCCACCACTTCTCTCAGCGTAGCGGCGCCAACTCTCCAGTCCCCTTTTCTAATTCCACCACCAACATTCCTTCGAAATCGTTCCCTCAACACCCCAAGCCTCCGCAGTTCAGATATCACAGCCACGTCAGCCACACGCATTTTATCCTGATCCCAAGGACAATGCGCCTCCTGTAGACTAACGTAAGCCGTCTTCACTGCCGACACCGCGTCAAAAACTTCCCCTAAAAGCATCTCCATTTCAGTTACTTTCTCAGTTCTTATCTCCTCCTTTGTGACCTCAACATTCTGGAATTTTTCCCGAGTCTCCACATAAGGTGGGTCTTCTTTTTCTTCTTCGTCTTCGGTACTGTACTTGTCATCTTCAGATTCATCGCTATAACGAGCATCGGAGATATTGCCGTCAATACGGCCAGAGGAAAGTGGATGAAGCAAGCAAGAAGCAGTGACACGTTGGATTAGATCGGAGAAATTGGAGACCTTGTTGGCCATTTTCTTTGATGCCTTGGTTCTGCAATTTCAGAGTCAAAATAGAGAAATAAGGAGTGGGCAGCAGTGCACTGGCACGTAGGTGTATAGTAGATGAAGACAAATGTAATATATATGATGGAATAAACTAGATCATATTTGTATAGAACTTTTGAAAATTACTTCAACCATTCCATTTTGTGCATAAGACAAAGTCATAAGAATCACTTCATGAGACTCACCATCTTACTCATCATCATAGAAAAGAAACTTATTGCATATAGGTATATTAACCCGACCCTCGAACAGTCGAACGTGTTTTGACTGTCACATACAGTATATGATTAGATTTACTTCAATGAACTAAAAGAAGTTTGAATGAAAGGGATCAAGGGTGGAAAAAGTGAGGAAGAATAAAGAAAAAAACCAACTGGTGCAACCTGATCAGCTGCAGCACCAGAACATCTACCGTGACACTGTGGAATTAACGCGTAGCCGCGGATGTTTAGGGTGCCATCAGGAGGTAACAGCTTATCGTGTCGCCATGAAGTTTTTACAACGCGATGAATAACAGAAGAAAGAATAAACTTTAGGAAATCTAAAGGAATTAAAGCGTCCGATGAAGATACTGTGTCACGGTAAACAGAGCTGATATAGAAGAGTTATTAAGCTGCGGCAAAACTAGAGCGTCGCAGTAGATGCTTCAGAATTCCAAAAATCAGCAAGGGTTAATTGGTCTTTAACAGTGATTTATATCTTGGGTAGAAATGACAGTCTATTTCGCAATTGAGTACGTGATTTGCAAATGGAATACACTGTGCAAAACTTAGTGGAGAGGACTCATCTTCATTGGATGATTTCTTAAGCATTGAGGTAAGCCCAAACTTTTTTCTAAATAAGAAGAGGTATGCCTAAACCTTATTCGATCTATTGAGGTTTTGGGCGAAATAATTGTGATTAGAGCTAATGAATTGAGGATTTCAAGCATGTATATGCTTGAGTAAACTACGCGTAATTACATTAGAAATTGATGGCTTGATTTTATTGACCTGCTGAGGGGGTACGAGAAATTTGTCATTCCTATGGCTTGATTAGTGAATGTAATAAATATCTATGGGTAATTCCTACCCAAATTATTATTATTATGAAATTTAATCCAACAACTTATGACTTCTTCCCTCCCCTGTATCTATCAGTGCTATGTAACAGTCTACTGTTTCATCTACAGAAAAGGACTCAGCAAAAACATTACACAGGCATTCAATCATTCAGCTTACTACGAACACACAAATTCCCTCAACAAAGGTTTGTCGATACCAGCTAAAGTTCCGCCGCTAATAAAAAGCTTCAGCGAGAAAAATACTCAGTGATACACCACCACCTTCAGACCTAAAAACAGACAACCACCATTTCATTCACCACTCTCTTCCTAAATCTATATCTATATAAAAGGCCACTAACATTAACAAGGTTACCAACTCTTGTGGTAAAGTTGCTACCAATCACACAGCATAAGTGCATAATTATCTGAAACTTGACAGTGAATATAAGTAACGACCAATTCATAACTAATACTACTTATTATCATTACAAAAGCAAAAGATTATTCCATCAACTTAAATGCTGATTCATATAATTCAACAAAGAAACAAACCCAGTCAAAAAAATCACACATTATAGCATTTGCACTAGGGGAATCACACCCTTTCCAAATTAAAATAAATCAATACCTAAAAAATTCAAGACACACAACAGCACACTTGAAATAGAAACCCAAATAAAAAAGAATAACAAAAAAAGACCCACAAATAATAAAAGGGTATCAAAAAAGAACATAAAATAATCAAAAGCCAAATTCTTGAAGAAAAAAAAACTTTTGAGAGTTCAGCAAGGAGAAGTACAGAACAAGAACAAAAAGAAAAACCCACCAAAGATTTAGTGAATTATGAGCAAATAATGTAAATGTAGGTGGGGAAAGCTTCATGATTTTCACAAAAAAGAAAAAAAAAATTAGGCTTTTACACTGAATTCAGCAAAAGCAAAAAGGACTAAGGACATGAAACTGAAGTTCACATGCAAGTAAGCAGTACTTAAGGACCCAATTAATGTGAGATTATGTTAATCAAGAAAGAGAAAAAGACTTTACCTTTTGCAATTGCTGGAAAAAGAAAGAGCAAAAAGCTAAAGCTTGGAAAGTTGCAGAGATTTTGGGCGACTGGAGATCTGAGAATTGGGGTCGGTCCGAAATGGAGTTCCAGATCTTTTCAAATTGACAAAAATGGTCTTTTATGTTTGGGTTTGGTTCAATGTGATCCCTTGAATATATTTTGAGTGGTTTTAGTCCTTTACACTTTTAGTTTACATAATAAAAAAAAATTACATATTTAAAAATTATATAAAAAGTATTCTAACTTATTCTGCCTGTGAACTCCAACCTCTCGTCACAATGCTTATATCTCACAAATCTATAACGCTATTAACGAGAGTTATGATGGGATAGATATGATCCCTTCATATTTAGTTAGAAATTTTAAGTTCGAGCTTATGATAGATAGTACTTTTTCTTTAATGAATGCTACGTCACCCGAATCCGAAATATTAGCCGGAATGTTCCAGTAGAAGTCTTGGACACTAGGTGGGGGAAAAAAATGCATAACACCCTATGAATTTTTCAAATCATTTCTGGCTATGTATGATCACAAAGATTAAATAATACCCCCCTATGAAACTTCAATTATTTGACGCTGAACCTTCCTAAATGATAGGTATGTGTAACGTGTTGTTTATTAGCACTCTGCACTAATATAAGTTGTATGTTCCTCATTTTGCCTCTAGAGTAAAAAAAGAAGATTACGAATTCATTATCTAATGGATTATTAATCAAGGAGATATTGAAGTCTACATTTTGAGCTTTACACAATTTCACCTCAATGGAATCTCTTAAACTAGCATTGGTTTATTTCCAGTATTCTAATTACACTCTGCATATTTGATCCATCTCTAATGGAAGATGAAATAACTTTTCAAATCAAAAGTCCATGCATGATTTTTAAATTAGGATAAGCCATATATTCGGCCGGTCAGCAAAAAATAATTATATTCGCTGAAAAATAAATAAATATATATATATATATATATATATATATATATATACACACGTTAATACACAAAATATATACATTTTGCCGGTTATTATTGTTGAAAGCAGCAATATAATTTTTTCTTTAAATTATACTAGTAGTCGTACCTGCGAGATGCGCAGTCAATATTAAAAAATATTAATTAAATTAAATTGTGATCGGGCTTGTTTGATCATTAGATCGTAACGCTTTAATAAGTTTCAATTTTCATCTTATTTGTCAATACGATATACCTAATAATAAAATCATTATCAAATTAAAGGAACTTATATAGTCAACGAATAACTTTTTTGTTATATACTTTTTATTATTATATTATTTAATTTTTAGTATTATTATATTATTAATAAAAAAATTTATTAGCATATTACTTTGTTTAATATTTTATCGTATATTTTATTACTCTTGAAATATTTTTGTATTTTAAAGTTTATTCAATTGTTGTCAATAATTGGCAACTTTTTATTTTTTTTAATTTCGTTTTTTATTTTAAAATAATTTTAAAACTTCAACTTTATTGGAGAATTCTCCTAAAAATGTACACTTGTCATCATATGGTTATGACACTTGGCATCATAGAATTATTTTACTCTTTTTTGTATATATTAAATAGAATATATATATATATATATATATAAAAGATACTACTCTCCAATTTGAATGGTAGTTTTTTATTTTTTCTTATTTTCGAAATTTATAAATATTTAAATTCAAAAACGGTAACTAATAACTAGTTTTTAACTAAATAACTAATTATGCCATGTGGCATTTTTTTAGACTACCACTTGATTTAATGTGATATTTTTTCTTTGACTTTTAATAATATATAGGTACCACTTTATACCATCCTCAAAATATGGTAGGAAATTAACACCCTATAGCAAGTCCAATATGAGTTGTATGTTCCTCATTTTGCCTCTAGAAGTAAAAAGATGATTACGAATTCATTATCTAATGGATTATTAATCAAGTAGAGATTAAAGGGTTAATTTCACCCATGGTCACCCAACTTATCATTTATTTCACAAAAGTCATTTATCTATTTTTCATCACTTAAAAGTCACTCAACTTTACCTTTGTAACTTGAAAATCATTCTAGTTCAAAACATATAAAATATCCAATAAATATATGACATGGCATTACATTTAATTAAAAAATTTAACAATAATGCCACATAAGTTTAAATAAACCATATCTAAGTTAGACCCATTTCTTCCTCAGTCCGATTTCGAGCAGTTTTTGAATATTAGTTTTAATTTATTTTATATAAAAACCAACAGATTTCGGTCAGTTTTTTGACTGACCGAAGTCGGTCGGTTGGTCGCGGTCTGTTTTGACCGAATTTTTAGTAGTGAACTTCTACTATGCAATTTCATTATGGGTATTTCTTACCAATATTTTGACTTTAATGGAATAGTAATTTGTGAAAATAAGTTCTTATTAGTTTGTTGTTCTTGTTTGTTAGTGATACATTTATATGTTATGTGAGATTGAAGTCGATCGGTCTTCCAAAATATTTTATTTTTTAATTTTTTTTTTACAAAACCGAAATTTTAGCGCAAAAATGCGGAAAACTATTTTAGAATCCCGCAAAAATTATTTTTTAAGAATTTTTTATATAAAATAAATTAAAACTAATATTCAAAAAACTGTCCGAAATCGGGCTGAGGAAGAAATGGGTCTAACTTAGTTATGGTCAATTTAAACTTATGTGGCATTATTGTTAGATTTTTTAATTAAATGTAATGCCATATCATATTTTTTATTGGTTATTCTATATGTTTTGAACTAGAATAACTTTCAAATTATAAATATAAAATTGAGTGACTTATAAGTGATAAAAAATAGATAAGTGACTTTTATTAAATAAATGATAAGTTGTATGATCATGGGTGAAATTAACCCAGAGATTAAATAATACTATTCGTCCATCAGTTTTCTTTTTCCAACAAAGAGAATCAGTGTGATAATTAGTGTCATTGGAAATCATCCAGATATCTTGCTTAATTAGCATTCTAAGCTGTCTTAATCACCAAAGATTTCATTGATGAATAAGAGAAAAAGTTGAAGTTTGAATGACAAATAGTAATTCGAGAGGCCCATAAAAACCCTCCAATAAGTAACAAAGTAGCAAAAGGGCATTTCTTTTCACGACTTTAGTCAGTAAATGAGATGCTTTTCTAGCACTGATTCTTTAAATGAGATTTTTTGCATTTGCTTTTCCCATAATTCCAAATAAAATTTATTTCTAGAGGACCGAGATCGAGATCCATTTGCAGAGATGCACGCCTTATCTAATTAGAATCCTAGATAATTTAAATTACGTGTGTGGATGGGCGAGTTTGCACATTTGACTGGGTGACTGGGTGGACGTTCCGGCAATTTGAATCGGGTATAAAAGTTTCGATTTGGATTTTTATTTTTCGGATTAAAGAAATGACAATTTAAATTCAATACAAATAAGCTCGGATTGAATCAGATTTTTTAAGTTCGGTTTCAGATTAATCGGTTTGGATATTTTGAATTTTCGATTTTGAGCTTATAAGTTGAGATGTTTCTTCTTTTTACAAAAATGAATATCTAAATGAAGTATTCATGGTAAATTGTTTAAAAAGTTCCTAATGCTCACCGCAATCATCCAAATAAAGTATTCAAGTAATGAAATTATTATCAAGGAAATGCAAAAGAAACATTAATACGGCCGATAAGAAGTAGCAATAGTAGAACCAAGTCCAAATAGAAAATATTATGACAATAACTTTGTAATTAATATTAAATATATGAGATAATATCTAATGGACAGCATATTGAATTTATTACTATTGGCATATGAATAATGGACTAAATATAAAGTGTAAAAATTTCGGATATCCAAAAATCTGAAGTACCAAATCCAATATTCAATCAGAAATTCAAAAATTTTAAAAATTAAATCCAAAATTCGAAAATCCAAGCCAAAAATTTAAAAAACTCGAATTTCGATTTGGATTTCAGGTTTGCCCAAACTATGCTCACCCCTACATTTGAGATATCTATTGATCGTCCCAATTTCTAGTATACATATAGTGCGCTTATTATTTTGCCTATTCATTTTAAGACATTCAATTATTTTCCTAGCAGCCTTGTTAAGAAAAGAAAAACTATTGGCTATGTCCATTTATAAGTAGTTTAATATAAAAATTGGCCAATTCATTAAATATTACTAATATTAGTCAAATGTTACCAATATTAGAGAATTAGCTATTTGTAGCAAAAAAAAAAAGGGTCAAATTTTTGTTTTCTTCTGAGTGGGTGTTATTATAATAGATTGGGTACATCATAAAGAGTTTGAATCCCACTGTGTATCATTTGTGTATTATCTATGTACCATATTTGTATCAAATATGTATCACATGTATATAGGGGTGTTCATAAAAACCCGAAAAATCAAACCAAACTGAAAACCGAACCAACCACAAAACCGATACTTTTTAGGTTTGGTTTGGTTTTGGTTTTGAATTTTAAAAACCGATCAAATTTGGTTTGATTTTGGTTTTAATCAAAAAATAACCGAAAAAATCAAACCAAACCGACTATAAAAGATGTGTGAATGTATACTTTTATATAAAGTTTCTAAAATTTTATGGTACATATTAGTCATTTATATTTTTAGTTTAGTTCTTTGCTATTATATTAATATAATTCTTTGCCTTTATATTCTAGTTTGATTGGTAGTTTTCTTTTGCTTAGTACAAGAATATTTTTCATGTTAAAAATAATCGATTTTTAATTGAGTACTTAAATTATTCATCACTATTTGTTTTAATTATCATCAACATATCTTGGTAAATGATAGATTCCTCAAATAAAAATTGATTTGATAGTGTTATGTTGAAAATGTAGTCGCCGGAATATGCGTTTGGTAGTGTATCTCATATTTACGAAAATACCCGATAAATAACCGAAAAAATCAAAAAATTGAAAAAAAACTCAATCGATAAAATCCCGACTTAATTGGTTTGGTTTGGTTCCAATATTTGAATAACCGACTTACTTGGTTTGGTTTCTCTTTAGGAAAAAATCGACCCAAACCAAACCATGAACACCCCAATATGTTGTAACGACCCGACCAGTCATTTTGAGTATTACAGCCTCGATCCCTCATTTACTGCTCTATTTATGCTTTTATAGCTATATTATGACCTATCAGAT